CTGCAACCTCCGCCTCCCGAGTTCAAGCAATTCTCCTGCCTCAGCCTCCCGAGTAGCTGGGACTACAGGTGTGCGACAACATGCCCAGCTAATTTTTGTATTTTTAGTAGAGATGGGGTTTCACCGTGTTGACCAGGATGGCCTTGATCTCTTGACCTCTTGATCCACCAGCCTCAGCCTCCTAAAGTGCTGGGATTATAGGCATGAGACACTGCAACCGGCCTTGTTCTTACAACTTTTGTGTAAGTTTGAAATTATGGTGGCATTTTCAGAGTTTCTTAGATTTAATAAGCAACAGTTTTTTTTTAAATTTTTTTTATAAAAGTCAGTCAAATTTAGCAGTAGGGGGTTGTATACCAACTTTAGTGACACTAATGTTAATAAGTTCTGTTAACCCACTACCATTGGGTCAGCCGCAACAGCAGTTTTGTTTTGTTTTGTTTTGTTTTTTCTGAGACGGAGTTTCGCTCTTGTTACCCAGGCTGGAGTGCAATGGCGTGATCTCGGCTCACCACAACCTCCGCCTCCTGGGTTCAGGCAATTCTCCTGCCTCAGCCTCCTGAGTAGCTGGGATTACAGGCACGCGCCACCATGCCCAGCTTATTTTTTGTATTTTTAGTAGAGACGGGGTTTCACCATGTTGACCAGGATGGTCTCGATCTCTTGACCTCGTGATCCACTCGTCTCAGCCTCCCAAAGCGCTGGGATTACAGGCGTGAGCCACCGTGCCCGGCCCAAAAGCAGTTTTTAAAAGTATTTCCTAACGGATGTGCTGAGAGTAATTACATTCTAGGCTTCCTCATTCCTCTTCTTAGCCTGCACTCCTTTAGATGGAGTTGGTTTTATCTATGATGGATGCTGAGGGAGAATGGCACATGGATTCTCCAATTAAATAAAGCAAGCCATTCTAATTAGCAAGACTAGATATCTTCCAGAGTTAATGTCTGAGGGAAAATTTCAAATGGAATGACATATTGTAGTCTAAAAATTCAAGACAATTAAGCTGAAATTATATCATCTTAGTATGAATAATCCACACTGTCCTGACTTTTCACAGTAACAACTAAGATTTTTTGAGCATTTCTTGTGTTCCATCCACTGTTCAAAGCATTCCACGTTTTGGGTAAATGGTGAGTGGGATTTGAACCTGGGCAGTTTTGCGCCTGCACTCAGTATTTATAGTATAAACCAGCTTCTACAGGTAGGGAAGATGCTCTTCCACCCAAAGCAGTGCTCTCAATCTTTTCCGACAGCACTGATGTCAGGCATACCTGATGTGCAGGTTGGGTTCCATGAAATCACGAGGCATACCCTCCGGAAGAATTTATGGGGCATAACTCTTGTTCCTCTTATTCCTCCACTCCCCAGACTGATACTTCACTGTTCTCAAAAATGCCTTCTGACAACTTTTACACCTTCACCCTCCTTTTTTTTTTTTTTGAGACAGTCTTACTCTGTCACGCAGGCTGGAGTGTAGTGGCGTGATCACTGCTTACTGCAACCTTTGCCTCCCGGGTTCAAGCGATTCTCCTGCCTCACCCTCCCAAGTAGCTGGGATTACAGGCGCCTACCACTGAGATGGGGTCATTTTTTTGGTATTTCTCTTTTTTCATTATACTTTTAAGTTCTGGGGTACATGTGCAGATCATGCAGGTTGCACAGATATACATGTGCCATGGTGGTGTGCTACATCCACCCCTCACCATCATCTACATTAGGTATTTCTCCTAATGTTATCTCCCCCCAACATCCCCACACCCTGCTATCCCTCCCCTAGCTCCCCCACTCTCTGACAGGCCCATGTGTGAGGTTCCCCTCCCTGTGTCCATCTGTTCTCATTGTTCAACATCCATTTGCGAGAACATGTGGTGTTTGGTTTTCTGTTCTTGTGTCAGTTTGCTGAGAATGATGGTTTCCAGCTTCATCCATGCCCCTGTAAAGAACATGAACTCACTTTTTTATGGCTGCATAGTATTCCATGGTGTATATGTGCCACATTCTTTATCCAGTCTGTCATTGTTAGGCATTTGGATTGGTTCCAAGTCTTTGCTATTATAAAGTGCTACAATAAATGTGTGCACGTGTCTTTATAATGGAATGTTTTATAATCCTTTATATACCATTGCTGGGTCAAATTGTATTCCTACTTCTAGACCCTTGAATTGCCACACTGTCTTCCACAATGGCTGAACTAATTTACACTCCCACCAACAGTGGGAAAGCGTTCCTGTTTCTCCAGTCTCTCCAGCACATTGTCTCCTGATTTTTTTTTTTTTTTAATAGATGGGGTTTCACCATGTTGGTCAGGCTGGTCTTGAACTCCCGACCTCAGGTGATCCACCCACCTTGGCCTCCAAAGTGCTTGGATTACAGGCGTGAGCCTCCACGCCCGGCCTGTCTCTTGATTTTTTTTTTTTTTCTAAGAAGATAGGGTTTCTCCATGATGGCCAGGCTGGATTTGAACTCCTGACCTCAAGTGATCCACCCACCTTTGCCTCCCAAAGTGCTAGGATTACAGGTGTGAGCCACCATGCCCGGCCACCTCCTGATTTTTTAATGATCACCATTCTAACTGGCATGAGATGGTATCTCAATGTGGTTTTGATTTGCATTCCTCTAATGACCAGTGAGGATGGGTTTTTGTTTTCTGCATAAATATCTTTTGACAAGTGTCTGTTCATATCCTTTGCCCACTTTTTGATAGGGTTTTTTCTTATAAATTTAAGTTCTTTGTAGATTCTGAATATTAGCCCTTTGTCAGATGGTTAGCTTGCAAAATTTTTTCCCATTCTGTTGGTTGCTGGTTCACTCTGATAGTTTCTTTTGCTGTGCAGAAGCTCTTTAATTAGATCCCTATTTTGGCTTTTGTTGCCATTGTTTTTGGTGTTTCAGTCATTAAGTCCTTGCCTATGTCTATGTCCTGAATGTTATTGCCTAGGTTTTCTTCTAGGGTTTTTATGGTGTTAGGGCTTATGTTTAAATCTTTAATCCATCTGGAGTTAATTTTTGTATAAGGTGTAAGGAAGGGATCCAGTTTCAGCTTTCTGCATATGGCTAGCCAGTTTTCCCAACACCATTTATTAAACAGGGAATCCTTTCCACATTGTATTTTTGTACTTTTTTTTTTTTTTAGTAGAGACAGGTTTTCACCATCTTGGCCAGCCTGATCTTGAACTCCTGACCTCATGATCCACTGCACCAGGCCCCCCACCCTCCTTTCATGAATTAATTCTCTCTACCAACACGTTACACGCATCTAGTGCCAAGCACAAGGCACTGCACTGAAGGATATGACGATTTCTTCTCTCAAGAAACTTATGACCAGACTGGGTGTGGTGGTTCATGCCTGTAATCCCAGTGCTTTGGGAGGCTGAAGCGGGCGAATCACAGGGTCAAGAAATGGAGACCATCCTAACCAACATGGTGAAACGCATCTCTACTAAAAATACAAATAGTCCCGGCTAGTTGGGAGGCTGAGACAGGAGAATCGCTTGAACCCAGAAGGCAGAGGCTGCAGTGAGCCGAGATCACATCATGGCACTGCAGCCTGGGCAACAGATGGACTCTGACAAAAAAAAAAAAAAAAAAAAAAAAATTATGACCAGTGGGCAGGCTATAGAGTTTACTAAATAACTACAATTTTTTAAAGGCTGGGCGTGGTGCTCATGCCTGTAATCTCAGCACTTTGGGAGGCTGAGGTGGGACAATCATGAAGTCAGGAGTTCAAGATGAGCCTGACTAACAGTGAAACACTGTCTCTACTAAAAATACAAAAATTAGCCAGGCATGGTGGCTCACACGTGTAATCCCAGCTACTCGGAAGGCTGAGACCGGAGAATTACTTGAACCCGGGAGGTGGAGGCTGTAGTGAGCTGAGATGTGCCACTGCACTCCAGCCTGAGTGCCAGAGCGAGACTCCATCCCAAACAAAACAAAACAAAACAAAAGAAAAAAGCAACAAAAAAAAAACCTCTAATTTTTTTTTAGCTTTTAAGATATTTAATTCAGCATTCCACTAACATTTTAATGCTATTTAAATATTCAATTAGAGCTATCATTTTCTATAGCCACTTTATTAACAAATGTTGCCTCTAAGTTATAAAAAAGGCCCAACTCATAAGATGTAAAGGTTTCAGAATTTATTGTAGTATTTACACATAAGATTTCAGCCTATCATCACTTTATAAAGATGATTGCTAGAATTTAATTAATATTTAAAAAAACAAGATCCATTATATTATGGTGAGTTTTTATGACCTATAAAATACTCACCACTACAAATTTCCATAAATGTAGTGGTTAGTAAAGCTTTTTTCTTAATGAAAAATAATGCCAGATAACAAAATAAAAATAAAATGGCACTTGAAGAAAATAATTTCTATAGTATGTTTGAAAATTGGCATAGTATTTTTTTTTTTGAGATGGAGTCTCACTCTGTTACCCAGGCTGGAGTGCAGTGGCACGATCTTAGCTCATTGCAACCTCTGTCACCTGAGTTCAAGCGATTCTCTTGCCTCAGCCTGCCAAGTAGCTGGGATTATAGGCACCTGCCACCATGCCTGGCTAATTTTTGTAGTTTTAGTAGAGACAGGGTTTCACCATGTTGGCCAGACTGGTCTTAAACTCCTGACCTCATGATCTACCTGCTTTGGCCTCCCAAAGTGCTGGGATTACAGGTGTGAGCCACCATGCCTGGCCAGCATAATAGTTTTATTTATAATGTAAAAAATAAAATAAAACACACGCTTCACTACAAATATTGAACCTAAGTTAGAAAATTTTTATGTAGCCAAACCATGACTTTAAGCTCTATATACAATGATGGCAGTTAACTGGGCTGCAGGCCGCCTTGCTCACAGAGCTTCAGAGCAAGCGCACGGTCTTCCCAGTCACCGTCAGGAAATCATCATCTGCCAGGGCACGCAGTGCTTCTTCAAACATATCTTTGGTAATTGCCTGTGGGGAAGAGAAAGAAAATAAGTATTTCACACATCCCCTCCTTTACCTGTTAGAGACACAATAATTTTAAACTACCACCAAGAGTCTTCTCTTTTTGGTGGGTATACACATGCCTTATACTCTAAATCAGGAGTGTGGTGGCCAGATAGTCCATATGGTAGAGTTGGCGTCTGTACAGTCCAGGTTGTAACTATCAACTCTGCCCTCTCAGTGACAACACAGCCACAGAAAATCAACTGGTGCTGAAAGCCTGCATAGTTCTTTTCACTAAATAACTCACCTTACTTATTTACAAAAGGACACCTGAGTATTTCATACCTAAAACAAACTTATATTTGTAACAACTATGAAAAGGGCATAACAACTTTAAGACAGAGCCTCGCTCTATCACCCAGGCTGGAGTGCAGTGACACGATCTCAGCTCACTGCAACCTCCGCCTCCTGGCTTCAAGTGATTCTCCTGCCTCAGCCTCCTGAGTAGCTGGGATAACAGGTGCCCGCCATCATGCCTGGCTAATTTTTGTATTTTTAGTAGAGACGGGGTTCAACCATATTGATCAGGCTGGCCTTGAACTCCAGACCCTGTGATCTGCCTACTGTGGCCTCCCAAAGTGCTGGGATTATAAGTGTGAGCCACCACGCCTGACCAACAATTTTTTTTTTTTTTGAGACAGAGTTTCACTCTGTCGCCTAGGCTGGAGTGCAGTGGCAGGATCTCAGCTCACTGCAACCTCTGCCTCCCAGGTTCAAGCAATTCTCCTGCCTCAGCCACCTGAGTAGCTGGGATTTCAGGTGTGCACCACCACACCCAGCTAATTTTTGTATTTTTAGTAGAGATGGGGTTTCACCATATTGGTCAGGCTGGTCTCAAACTCCTGGCTTCAAGTGATCCACCTGTTTCTGCTTCCAAAAGTGTTGGGATTACAGGTGTGAGCCACTGTGCCTGGCCGAAAAATTTAATTGTGATTATTTTTTGATGCTGGGCTTATGGTTCATCTTCCTTTTCTTTATTCTTTTCTATATTTATTTTTTAATAAACAAATGAAGGATAAAACCCAAAAGCATAAGGAAAAAGAGAAAGCTCTATCAAACAAAAAATACATATAAACACTTACTATGTCAGATTGCCCCCGAATGTCTTCAAAAAGTTGCTGGTATTTTAGAGCTGGTATTTTGCCCTTAGATAAAATAAGCCTTTTCAATGCTTCAGCTAATTCTTCTTTCCGTTTACGAGAGGTGGCACTCATCCCTGATTTGAAAAGGAATCAATGAAAATATTGCTATGTTTTAAATTCTCAAAAATATTCCTTTGGTAGTATTGCCTAGAAGGGTAAGGGGACAGGGGCTGAGTACATTTGAAAGGAATGAGTTGTGAATGATTCCAAATTTTCTCTAAGCCACTAGTTGCTGCCTTCCATGGAAACAGTCTACATATTTATGCAGCAAGCAGCTGCTGCTGATTAGGAAACACACAACTTCTCTAAAATGGGTTAACACAACTGGCCAGACAGCCAAGGAGACAATCTCCTTAAAACTATACACAAAACTCTGTATTAGTGAATATTTTTATTAAGAGATGATTAAGGGGCAAATTTCATCAAATTCTCAAAGGGGTCCTAATCCAAAGAAGGTTAAGAACTTCTGTTTCAAATGATTTAACTGTTAGCTTAAATCTAACATATTAACCACTCACATATTGAAATTATTTTCAAAAGCTTTTCCGTTCACTGAGAATAACGAACCTGTAGTAAGAATAGATATGTCCACGATGCCAGTCCGGGGGTCAGTTGCAGACTGCTTCAGAGCTTCCCGATGGAGGCGTTTGGCCTCTTCCACATCAATGGCTTCAACTTTGTTAGAAAATCTTACTTTAGCATGGGCTTCTGCTAAGCGGATTAATGATTCTAGCTGTCGAGGGTATGCAGAAACCATTCCACGGCTACTGCCAATCTTCCTCATATCTACATAAGCCTATTGTAGGTAGAAAAACAAAAGCAAACCTCCTTGGTGATAACTTTAGTTTTGTGATTGAATTTTGAACACTCAGGCTTCCGTTAAATAAACTAAACTCAGATCTGGTCCTGGGCCCCAGAGCGCATCAGATGGTAAGTCTACAGAAATTTCTACAGAAACCCCACGTCCAGCGTGCAGTGGTGGGTGAACATATTCCAACTGGGAGACACTCGGGAAGACTTCTTGCAGAGGGTGGCATCTAACGTAGCTTTAAAGAATAGAGACGGGCATGGTGTGACAGAGGAAAGGGATGTGGCGTGTGGGGAGAGGAGCAGGCTCTGAGGACTCATAGGGCCAATCAGGGCCTGTCTGAGAAAAGCGCTCAGGGACAGTAATCCTGTCTATACCCCTGGCTAGGAGTCCACTTGATGGGACACAAAAGGATCCCTGGGGGACTGTTGCAAAGGTAAGTTGGATCAACTACACATACAGGTGACACAGTCTTTGTCTTCATGAACCACCCCAAGACTATGACACAAAAAGTTACATAATGTCTGCAACTTTCATCTTAGCATTTTTGGGAGCTCAGTTAGGATGTAAAGTTCATCAAAGCACCAGGAACCTGTCTCTACTAAAAATACAAAAATTAGCTGGGAGTCATGGCGGGCACTTGTAATCCCAGCTGCTTGGGAGGCTGAGGTAAGAGAATCAGTTGAACCCAGGAGGTGCAGGTTGCAGTGAGCCAAGATTGCGCCACTGCACTCCAGCCTGGGCAGAAGAGCCAGACTCTGTCTCAAAAACAAACAAATAAAAAATAGTATGTTATTAACAAAATAGTTAATGTTTTCATAATTTTGTTTTTTACCCATCAGCAGGAAAATAATGTTTTCAAGGAGATGGCTGGGGAGTCATATCAATGCTGTGGGCTACAGGCACAGTAAGCCCTTTCTCAGCTGGGTTACCTCGATGAGAGCCTGGCTGGCTTCCTCACTTAGCCGTGGCATGACGGTGCTGTGCGCATAGGCAATGTAGTCCTTCAGGACCGCCATGTCCAGGAGCTCCTCCTCTGCCTGCTCCTCGCTCTGGTAGTACAGTGCGACCAGGTGGTGAGCCAGACGCCTGTCGTAGGCTTCGTCCTGAGGGTCCAGCATGAGGAAGATCAAGTCAAACCTAAGAAAACAAAGTAAAAATACTGTTTTTTCAGCACTGGGAGGCCGAGGCAGGTGGATCATCTGAGGTCAGGAGTTCAAGACCAGCCTGGCCAACATGGTGAAACCCTGTCTCTACTAAAAACACAAAAATTAGCAGTGTGCCTATAATCCCAGCTTTTCGGGAAGCTGAGGCAGGAGAATCACTTAAACTTGAGAGGTGGAGGTTGCAGTGAGCCATGATTGCACCACTGCACTCCAGCCTGGGCAATAGAGGGAGACTGTCTCAAAAAAACAAAACAAAATTTTTCTAGTTGAGACACTAATACACCTACAAACAATGTATTAAAGACTACTTGAACACCGCAGATGTGCAGTGAATGTGCACCCTGTGAGTGCCCCCAGGGAGAAGCATCTTTGCCTGGTGCGGAAAGAGCCTTCGTGTCCATTCATTCAACCCACTCACTCTGTGCTTTCCCTTAGGTCTGCCCAGGCAATGACTAGGGACCAATCAGATGAGTCAAGGGAAGACTTACTTCCCTTAGGGAAAGGTTACTATAATTTTGACGATGGAAATTTTGTTTTTTTTCCCTGAGATGAAGTCTCACTCTGTAGCCCAAGCTAGAGTGCAGTGGAATCCTCTCAGCTTACTGCAACCTCTGTCCCCCGGGCTCAAGCAATTCTTGGGCTTCCTCAGCCTCCTGAGTAGCTGGGACTATAGGTGCCTGTCACCATACCTGGCTCATTTTTTTTTTTTTTTTAAGTAGAAACGGGGTTTCACCATATTGCCCAGGGTGGCCTCAAACTCCTGAGCTCAGGCGATCCAGCCACCTCGGCCTCCCAAAGTGCTGGGATTATAGGCGTGAGCTATTGCACCTGAATGACGATGAAAAAATTTGAACAAAAGCACATTCAACTATTTTTTTTTGGGAAAAAAACTATTGAAAATACAAAAATTAGCCAGGCGTGGTGGTGCACATCTATAATCCCAGCTAGTTGGAAGGCTGAGGCAGGAAAATTGCTTGAGCCCAGGAGGTGAAGGTTGCATGAACCGAGTGCACCATTGTACTCCAGCCTGGGTGACAAAGAGAAGAGATACGCTGTCTCAAAAAA